TTATATTTTCCTAAGGTTTTTGGCGGCCTACTTTTTGACCACTTCACATAACAACAATATTGTAATATTATATTTCTAAAGAATATAAACAGCGATTTCAATGCTGTGACCTTTTGGAAGTAGACTGTTATATGTTTCACAATTATTCATTAAGCACTTTGTATGTACCAAGCACTGTTTCTAACCCTGAACCAGCCACAAGTGAATTCTTTTTTTTTATTATTATACTTTAGATGAAGGTTTACAGAACAAACTAGCTTCTCATTAAACAATTAGTACACATATTGTTTTGTGACATTGGTTACCAATGCCATGACATGTCAACACTCCCCCTTCTCGACCTTGGGTTCCCAATCACCAGACTTCCTGTCCCCTCCTGCCTTCTCGTCCTTGCCCCTGGGCTGGTGCCCCTTTAGTCTCATTTTGTTTTATGGGCCTATGATGTATTCTTGATAATAACTTTTAACCAAATCTAATAAAGTCTTTAGACACCAACCAGAAAACCAAACAAAACCTATTGCGGTTGAGTTGATTCTGACTCATAGTGATCCTACAGGACAGAGTAGAACTGCCCCATAGGATTTCCAGGGAGTGGCTGGTGGATTCAAATTGCTGACTTTTTGGTTAGCAGCCAAAAGCTTAACTACTGTGCCACCAGGGCTCCTTTAGACACCAGTTTATATTAAATAGAAACAAACAAAAAAACCCAAACCCATTGCCATCAAGTTGATTTCGACTCATAGGGACCCTGTAAGACAGAGTAGAATTGCCCCATAGGGTTCCCAAGGCTGTAATCTTTAAGGAAGCAGACCGTCACGTCTTTCTTCCCCAGAACTGCTGATGGGTTTGCACCAGCTGGTTAATATAGGAGTTAGAAAAACAAGTTAAATGACACTGTGAAGAAACAATCAGACAAATGTTTACTGTAGGACGTTCCATTAGATAACTGGCCTAGACTCTTGAAAAAGTCAATGTCATGGGGGGAAGAAAGTGAAAGAGCTTTTCTAATTAAAAGAGACTAAAAAGGCATAATAACAAGACACAACGCATGCACGTAATTGATTGCTGCTTCAAAAAAACAAAAATTCAACAAAAACCCAAAAACTCACAAATAAAACCCAATAAATTATAAAAGACATTTTTGAGACAATTGGGAAAATTTGAATATGTACTAGATATTCAGTGATATTAAAGAATTATGGTTAATTTTCTTAGTTGTAAATATGGTATTGGGTTACGTTAGAGAATGTCCTTATTTTTAGGATATACATACTGAAATATTTTAGAATGAAGTGTCATAATACCTGCAACTCACTTTCCAGGAAACAAAACACCTCACATACACCGAACCAAACCCGCTGCAGTGGAGTTGATTCCGACTCAGAGCGATCCTATAGGACAGAGTAGAACTGCCCCATAGGGTTATCTATGCTGTAGAAAGAAAGATGTGGCAGTCTGCTTCCGTAAAGATCACAGCGTTGGAAACCCTATGGGGTAGCCCTACTCTGTCCTGTATGGTCGCTGTGAGTCGGAATGGACTGGACAGCAACAGTTTCTGTTTTTGTTTTTAATCTTTACAGAAGCAGATCGCCAGGTCTTTCTCCTTCGGAACTTCTGGGTGGGTTTAAACCACCAACATATTGGTTAGCAGCCAAACAATTCTGACCTAGGTCTCCTGATTCCTAACCAAAAACCAAACCTGTTGCCATCGAGTAGATTCCAACTTATAGCGACCCTGTAAGACAGAGCAGAACTGCTTCATAGTTTCCAAGGCTGTAATCTTTAAGGAAGCAGACTGCCAGATCCAGCTGCCTACATTTCGGTTAGCAGCCGAGTGCTTTAAATGCTCTGCCACCAGGACGCCTCTCCTCACATACAAAGAGGGAGATAAAGCAAAGACGGCAAAATGGAAACAACTGTTGAATCCTAAGTGGTGGGCCATCGTTGCAGAATTCTTTTTTTCTGTATGTTGAAAATTTTGATGATAAAAACTTGAGGGAGACTTAGGGGACAGTTAGTTGATGTTAATGGGGGAGGAACAATTCGGAAAAGGAGGGTGAAACTGGTGACACAATTTGAAGAATGTAATTAATGTCACTGAATTATACATGTAGAAATTGTTGAATTGGTGTATGTTCTGCTGGGTGTATTCTCAACAAAAAAGCTGAGGGTGGAAAGTCGTAGCTATGCAGTTTAACTACCTGTGACTTTGGGCAGTCTCCTTGACTCTCTGGACATAGTTTCCTCACCTGCAAAACAGGGCGAAACGTATTTACCTCACACTGTTGGTGTCTGGATTAAAAGTATAAAGCCCCTGACCCAGGTGCCCTGTAGCTGTGGGGTGTTATTATCATTATTATGATAATCCCAGCATGGTGTCTGGTAGAAAGTAATGAGTGGCTTTGGGAAAATCACGTGAACTTCCCGGGTTTGTTTCTCGACCTGTAAAATCGTGGCCATGGGTTGACTAGCTAGAAGCCACCCTACACAGCAACACGCAGGAGCAAACCTACCCGCGCCCGCTGCGTGGCCGACGGGAGCGCGGGCGCCGGAAATGGGGCGGGACTTGGGGGGGGGGGGGGGCGGAGCGCGAGGCGCCCAATGAATTGAATGAAGTGGAGACTTTCGTGAGGAGTTGTGGGAGGAACCGTCTCTCTTCGGGACCAATCATAGAGTAGATTTAAAACACCCGCGCCGAAGGAAAAATGCGGAAAAACCTGGAGGATCCCAGCGCTTGGGAGCAGCCCCCGAGTCTAGGGCAGGCCGAGCAGCGTGGGGCCGGCTGGACCCTGCGGCGTCACCTCTTAAGGAGACTGTACCGCCTGGGCCTGGTCGGACCCCATTTCCTCCCCGGTCTCAAGGGCAAAAGAGGAGGCGCTGGGAGCCAGAGGTCTGGTCTGGCCCAGTGGACTCATAAAGGCGTGACAGCCTGGCAGAGCACGTAGCCCTCTTGGCCAGCTTCCTTCTTTGTATACCGGCGCAATAATAATAACCTGCCTTAAGAGGAGGAAGGGAGGATGCTGAAACGTTCTAGAAGTTGGGAGGCTGTGAAGGGGAGAATGGTGACTTTTTTTCCCCCTGCCTCTTTATGTGTACTCGTCGTTCCACATTTTTTACAATTGATATGTGGTGTTTTGGTAGTCAGAAAAAAACAACTAAAAATGAACTCATAATTTCTGACTACCTCACAAAATTATAGTCAGTATAATAGGAGCTAAAATAAAACACGGAGTTACCCAAAGTAGCACTTTGAATATTGATTATGTAAAACTTGAATGTGAATTGAGTATTAGATGATACCAAGGAATTAATTTTCAGATGTGATAATGACTATCAGCCATACAATTATCAATAAAAATATCCATTTTTTTGGAGATGCGTGCTGAGGTAAGGGTGAAATTGACAATATCTGGGAGTTGCTTTAAAAGAAATGCATACCAGAAGTTTTACTTGTTGCTTTTGTAAGAGGAAGAGGTATGATTGTCGTTAATCTTTCTCTAACTTGAGAATACTTTGAACACTCGTACGTACTACTTTAAGAAATGGAAGAAATACATCTAGGTGGGAAAAGTATCTTCCTCGCCCTAACGTCTATAAAGTATTATATATCTAGAAAAGGCTGTGTTAAGTGTCTCTCTTAGTGACAGGCCTGAGGGCAAACATCTCTGGCAAATCAGAAAAACCACATACAAACTAAACAAACTGTTAATAAGTTCATGTCTCCACCCTCACTCTAACGGAGGTTTTCAACCCCCTCTTCAAGCTGTTTACCAAAAAAACCCAAACTCATTGCCATTGTGTCGATTCCGACTCATAGCGACCCTATAGGACAGAGTAGAGCTGCCCCATAGGGTATCCAAGGAACGGCTGGTGGATTCGAACTGCCAACCTTTTGGTTAGCGGCCGAGCTCTTCCGGCTATTTGGGGCCCAATAAATAGTAAAGGAGTTACTGGTTCTTCAGTAATTCTCTGAACATTCTCAGGATTTTTTGCTCAGTTTGCAATTTTTTACTGGTCAATTAGTTTGTGTTAGAAATGAAAATTCATGAACTGATACTGACTGCTAAATCCTCAGACTGGAAATTGCATCTTAGAACAATGCTGACGTAGGGGACCATGAAGTCTGAGAGCAGACAGTATTTCAGCTGAAAACTCAACTGAAGGCGTTCTCTCTGTATCATTTAAATTGAAGGTTTACTTGGTACTGGGCATTTTACGTGAATTATCTCATTTAATCCTCTCATTATCGTAATAATAACCCCATAGGTTAGGTACAGTAACATGTCCCATTTACCAATGAAGGCACCGAATTTTTACGAAAGTCAGGTGACGTCCGAGTCCCACAGTAACTGGAGCCGCGGGACCCAGCAACCAGTGGTCCTAATCATTAGTCTACACTGTCTTCGCCGACCACCCCACAAGCTTGTCCTACCTTAGGGAATACTCTCTGGCCTCGCACCCCAACCTTTCATCTAAATGGTCGTGACAATGCTTTCTCCCCTCTGCCAGGGTGTTTTACAAGTATTTGCACCAACCTCCTTGCAAATCATTTAGCTCAAACGGTGGAACAAATTCAGACAAGACACGTTTTCCGGGGAGGTGGAGCTGCAGAATCGAGACTCCTCTCGCGCTCCGCGGGCTAGGGCGCGACGCGCAGAGCACCAATCAGCGAGCCTCCTGCAGGCCAAACGGTTTTCGGGTTAAGTGCCCGCGCGCGCCACAGTAACTGAGACGAGAGTGGGCTGCAACTTTTTCCAGTGGGACCCTCAGGGGCCTGGACAGCAGTGTTTCCGATTTAATCCTCAGCTCCTGGAGATCCCGGAAGGGGACCCCCGTGGGGGATCCCGGGCGTCCCGGATGTCCTGCTGCGAGCGCTTCCGCCCTGCGCTTGAATCTCCCGCGTGAATCTGCACTTATGCGTTGCCAAGGGTGCGATTGGTCGCATCCAACGGGAAGGCGGTACAGCCCCTTCTCATTGGCTCGCTCGCAACCTACAAGGGTATTTAAATGCCGCTTAAGGGGCGCGGAACCGCCCGTACCGCCTGGTTTGTGAGGTCCCCTGCTCTGTCAGCCTGCACCTCGCCGACTCTCACGCCATCGCCATGTTCTCAGCCCGCGTCCCGCTCGCCACCATCGACCAGCAGCAGCTTCAGCTTTCTCCCATGAAGGGGCTGAGCCTGGCGGACAAGGAGAACACTGTGAGCGTGCCTGTGTATAGGGAGCCCTGGCGGGGCGCAGTGGTTAAAGCGCTAGGCTGCTAACTGGAAGGTCGGCAGTTCCAATCCAGCAGCCGGAAGGTCGCCGGTTCGAATCCAGCAGCCTCTCCGCTGTAGAAAGATGTGGCAGTCTGAGTCTGTAAAGATTACATCCTTTGGGAATCCGTGTGGGGCACTTCTACTCTGTCCTACAGGGTCGCTATGAGTCGGCATCGACTCCACGGCAGTGGTTTTGGTTTGGGTACATGTGTATGGCCGGGTGAGGAGCCCGGTGAGGAACCGGGCGGCGGGCAGGGAGGAGACCCGCACCCCACTCACCGTGCCTCTTCCCTGCAGCCCCCGTCCCTCAGCAGTGCCCGCGTCCTGGCCAGTAAGGCAGCGAGGAAGATCTTCCAGGAGCCGGTGAGTAACTGGCTCTCGGGGCGGGACAATGTGCTGAGGCCGCCTGCTCAGACAGGCCCAGAGGTGTAGGGGGCAGCCTTGCCGAGACTGGTCTTGGCGCCAACTTCACTCATTGTCTCTTCAGCTGTTTTCCCGCTTGCCCCATCATTCCACCACTTCCTCCCCCACCCCCGCACCCCTTTTCCCGCCAAAGTGCCCTTCCCTGTATATAATTTCCTATTATAGATAAGTATATTTCCTAACGTATTTCTATATTATACTCACTTTGTTACCCATAATACCTATGTGATGTTTAACATATTGTTTAATATTAATATATTATACGGAGAAGAACGTTTACCTACTATTTAATGTATATACTTCACATACTATTTTGTTATAAGTAAGGTTTATTTCCTGCCCTTGTTCAGGTCGAACCACATGAAATTGCCGATAACTGAGTGTGTCCCAAACGTTAAAATGGCCATTTCATATGGTTCAACCTAAATTTAGCCAACATTTTTGTTGCCTTCTCTTCTAACAGGAGAACACGAAGGTACCTGCCTCCAGCGTGGAGGATGAACCATTGCTGAGAGAAAATCCCCGCCGCTTTGTCGTCTTTCCTATTGAATACCATGATATTTGGCAGATGTATAAGAAAGCCGAGGCTTCCTTTTGGACAGCTGAGGAGGTAATTCAGCAACTTGCAGCACTGCCCTCAACTCCAGGAGACACCCTTAATGGTAGCTGGTTATAAATGATTTGAAATCTGCTTTACATTCCTCTTGGGGACACTTGCCCACTGAGGGTGTTAGATATTCTAACTGGCAAAGGAAACTCTATGTAAAGAATATGTATTTATCAAGTGGTGCTTGTAGCCTTCAAGAAAATTGACAAGTTATACATATGTGTTAGGTCCTGCATGTTTGAATCTCTTCCTTTTATGCTAAAATTATGGACTTCTAAACTTCAGGTGGATCTTTCCAAGGACATTCAGCACTGGGAAGCTCTGAAGCCTGAGGAGAGATATTTTATATCACATGTTCTGGCTTTCTTTGCCGCGAGTGATGGCATAGTGAATGAAAACTTGGTGAGTTTCCAGAAAACATCTGCTTTTGTTCACCTGAAGATTTAAGATAGAAGAAATTTGTTTTCCTCATCTTCATAATTCTCTTACACAGAATGTATATGTATATATGTCTATAAGCTATTTATGTTACATGGCATTTCCTGTTTTGCAATGTGCTTTGCAGTTATTTCTTCATTGTGATATTTTGCATAGAATCTCAAAAACAATGTTAAATGATAGGTAACGAGTTTGGGCCTTATATTTGCTCTCCTTTTTGTGGCTTTGCTGTTTTAATAATTTGAATGCATATATACCTTGTTGTAAGTGACTGGGTTCTTGGAATGAATTAGGAAAGAATAAATCAATACTCTTATAATGGTACAAAAAAGGAAGTGTGATGTGACAGTTACCCATTGACTGGGTGAGTAGCTGCTGGTAATTTTTCCTCAGGCTTAACTTTGATATATTTTACCACTAGGTGGAGCGATTTAGCCAAGAAGTTCAGATTACAGAAGCCCGCTGTTTCTATGGCTTCCAAATTGCCATGGAAAACATACATTCTGAAATGTATAGTCTCCTTATTGACACTTACATTAAAGATTCCAAGGAAAGGTGAGTATTAGGGTGGTATGCCAGGATGTTTAGGACTCACTAATTGTTAATTTATTTTAAGGTTTTTGCATTCATAAACAAACAAAAATAAAACCTGTTTCTGTCTGGGTGATTTCAACTCATGATGGCCCCCAGGTGTTACAAAGTAAAACTGCTCCATAGGATTTTCTTGGCTGTAATCCTTATGGAAGTAGATTGCGAGGCCTTTCTCCTGCAGTGCCACCAGATGGGGCTCAAACCCCCAACCTTGAGATTGGCAGCCAAAAGCAAATCGCTTGTGTCACCCATAAACCTTTTTGCATCATTTGCATCATTTGATTCTGACTCATAGCAACCCTGCATACAGGACAGAGTAGAACTGCCCCATAGGGTTTCCAATGAGCGGCTGGTGGGTTTGAACTGCCGACCTTTGGGCTGGTAGCTGAATGCTTAACCACTGTGCCACCCGGGCTCCTTGAATATTGGGATAGAAAAATGACTCTAAAATTACTGAGCAGACAGTCATAAAAATAGGCGTAAAATCACTTTATTAGCCAGTCATTTAAAAACAAAGTTATTAGATGTTCCAGTTTTAGAATTGGAAGTATATTGTGGAAAATCCAGTCTAATGCCTTACTTTTGGGAAAAAAACATCCCTAGAGGTTGTCTGTGGTGCACTAAGACCTGGCCCTGACAATCTTTACTCATGCAGCAAATGGGTTGAGAACCACATTGTGAGGGTGGAGCAGGGCAGAGTAGTGGGAGGGTACAAAATAGAACATAACCTGCCTCTTAGGAAGTTTGCAATACAGTACAGAAAATAAAACCTAGAAGTATCTAAGTGCATTTGTAGACTACTTGGAAGAATGAAGAGGAATGAATGGTAACTCGAAAGGCTAGCAAATAGAGGAAGCTTTTTTGGGGGGGATTTGAATACTTTTGTATCCAGAAATGGGAGAAGATCTGATTAGGAGTAAAGAACCAGAAAGGGATAGAATCAGGAAGGTCGTGATGGTTGAGCTTCATAAGCAAGGTAGAGGCAGACACAGGTTTCTGAAATAAGGAGAACCTTGAGGTGGAAAGATAGTGTTTGATGACCTTGACCTCAGAAAACAAGGTCATCCAGGAAGGAACAGGCTGGGACATCAGTAGACTCCTGAGAATGGGTACTGGGATGAATGCGAGGTGGAGGAGGGTAGTAAGGAAAACCCCGACTGACCCGTTGCTATCAGAGTCATAGTGACTCATAGTGTCCCTGTAGGACAAAGTAGAACTGCCCCATAGGGTTTCTGAGGGGCAGCTGGTGGATTCGAACTGCTGACCTTTCAGTTAGCAGCCTGAGCTCTTAACTGTTGTGCCACCAGGGCTCCAAGGAAGACCTGGTTAAGTGAATTTATGTAGGGGTCAATCAGTTTACTTTTCTGGCTTGGGATTAACAGTGTAGCATAGAATTATAGTAGGAAGCAATCTTAGATCTTTAGTTTATTGGTTCAATTCTTTTATTAATAGAAGTATAGCAATTGGGTCCTAAAAGGACTGATAGTGATAGTCTTTGGGGACTGTCTAGTGGGGTAATAGCGTAGCTTAAGCAGTCCTAGCAGTTAAGATTTTGTGGTTCTTCAAATTTAAGAAGATGAGGCCTGTGAAATGTGTCATGATCTGGACTTGAAATAATTAAGCCAATAACAAATGCCCTTCATATAATGGGCTAAGAGCTTTAGTTTAGATATTAGGACTCAATATACACTAAAGATTACCTAAATTTGTATCAAAACCCGTTGCCATTGAGTTGATTCTGACCCATAGCGACCCTATAGGGCAGAGTTGAACCACCCCATAGGGTTTCCAAACAGTGGCTGGTGGATTCGAACTGCTGATCTTTTGGTTAGCAGCCAAGCTCTCAATCACTACACCACCATGACTCCAAATTTGTATTAGTATAAATCAAATGTTGATTTTAAAAATAACTATAGAGGAAAAAGCAAACCAGCAAAGAGAACATTTCAATTTGAGTTCTTCGTTTGGGAAAAGGATTGGCCAGTGTTTGAATCTGGCCCCAGACCCATTGCTCCGCGTATCCAAAAGTTTGTAATCAAGGGCCTTCGCTGTAATTGCTGATGCTATCCATGCCTTCTAGGGAATTTCTCTTCAACGCCATTGAAACGATGCCTTGTGTGAAGAAGAAGGCAGATTGGGCCTTGCGTTGGATTGGGGACAAAGAAGCTACCTATGGTAAGGATACCCTTGGCCCTACTTAAAACTTCATTTTCTAAGTAATGTTGTGGTTTGTTGACCCTTCCCAGAAAAGTAATACTCACTACAAATACTTTGATATTAACCCTAATAGGAGAGCGTGTTGTAGCCTTTGCAGCCGTAGAAGGAATCTTCTTTTCTGGTTCTTTTGCATCGATATTCTGGCTCAAGAAACGAGGATTAATGCCTGGGCTCACATTTTCCAATGAACTTATTAGCAGAGATGAGGTGAGTCTAAATCAAAGAACAGGCGAATCTACACTCTTTAAATACCTACGACTCTCGGGCACCATCTTGTATTCACTGAAGGGAACACAAGATACTGGCTTGCACTGTATCTGCATTTAACATGTGAATTCAACCATGTACTCAGCAAAGAGTAAAATACCTTAAATAATTAACAAATTATTTTACACATATTCTTGAGTATATTATAATGCATTTATATGTACATATTACCTTATGGGCTTGACTGTAAAAAACTACAAGTAATTGATGGGATTTTTCAAGAGATGTTTTATTACAATTTTTGATTATTGATGTTTTTTCCTGGCATTCTTTGTGCTCCTACTGTACATCAAAGTTAGCTCAGCATAACTGTTAAATCCCAGAGTTGGTAAGCTTCCCAATGAAATGAGAACCATTCTGTACCAGTATGTGCCTTTGAATGCACTTGGATTAAATTGAAAAAATAAAGATAAAGGTGCCCCGATTTTCTAATTTAAATCACATCTGGAAGGCAGGGAGCATGAACCTACATACCTGGAGACCAATGTACAGATCAAACATTTGATCTTCTCTTGTAGGAGGATCTTCCCTTATAGAAAGATAAGGATTTGGGGGGTTTAATGAACTAGGGGAAACCCTGGTGACATAGTGGTTAAGTGTGGCTGCTAACCAAAAGTTTGGCTGTTTGAATCCACCAGGCGCTCCTTGGAAACCCTATAGGGCAGTTCTACTCTGTCCTATAGGGTCGCTATGAGTTGGAATCGACTTGGCAATGGGTTGGGTTTGGTTTGGTTTAATGCGCTAGGACTTGCAGACTTGATTCACCTTGAAATTGCATTACTAATTTCCTGTGCATTCGGTTGTAAATATAAAAGCTAACTAGCCTAGTTCCTGAGAATGGTCTTTCCTGCTGGGAATAGTAGCAAAATTAAAGAGCTCATAGCTGTAGAAAGAACGAAGACTTTGAGTGGAATTTCTGCTCCATGCTTTGCCATCACACAAAACAGCAAGGCATAGACCTGTCATGATCTATGTGGCAGCGCTGAGGGCCTTTGGTGGGGCTGAGACTGCCTCAACATAAGCAGAATAGAGATGTAGTCAATATCCCTTTGACAATTTAAATGTTTGTCGTATTGCCAAGCAAGTTGTATAAGGAGCATGCAGAAAAAGATAAAGCGATTTCATATTCCAAGTTAATGATAGAAGTTCTTTGGCTCTATAGTGATCTTGAACTTTTTCTTCTAGGGTTTACACTGTGACTTTGCCTGTCTAATGTTCAAACACCTACTACACAAACCTTCAGAGCAAAGAGTCAAAGAAATAGTTATTAATGCTGTAAGGATAGAACAGGTGGGTAATGTAAGCTTCACCCTTATGCTTGCTAGAAGACAAATGTCTTTATGCTTCTTTTCTATTCAGAAGCTTTGTTTTGGTCCGTAGGAATTCCTTACCGAGGCCTTGCCTGTGAAGCTCATCGGAATGAACTGTGCTTTAATGAAGCAGTACATTGAATTCGTGGCAGACAGATTAATGCTGGAACTTGGTTTTAACAAGGTAAAATATTGTTTTTCGCCCCTCTTGTTTCTTTTTGAAACTGGTGTTCTGTATTTATATTTTGATGTGAACCTTTTCAGGTGTTCAGAGTAGAAAATCCGTTTGACTTTATGGAGAATATTTCACTAGAAGGGAAGACTAACTTCTTTGAGAAGAGAGTGGGCGAGTATCAGAGGATGGGAGTGATGTCCAGCCCAACAGAGAATTCTTTTACCTTGGATGCTGACTTCTAAGTGAACTGAAGATGTGCTGTTATTTTGCTGATTTTTTTTTTTTCTTCTCATCCAAAAAAAATCAGCTACTTTAACTATATCGACCAGCTGCACCGTGGAATTGACCCAACTAGGAGAAATCTTCTTTAATGACATCTTAGAAACTGATTAGCTACCTCAAAACCAATCCTGTTTATTAACAAATGCTAGTGGTGTCACCTAGAATGAGAAGATCTTAAGACGGGCTACTTGGATTTTCATGAAAAATCTTGTCAGTGTTTGGTTTTTGCAAGCAGACTAGCTGCAGAGGACTTTTCTTATAGCTATACCAGCAGTAATCTTGGCTTTAGAGTGGGGAGACGCTCAAGCTAGTTTGATCCAGCAGGATTTAAACGTTCAGTCAGTTGGAAGATGTCAGCCTCACTGCTTCAAAGCAGATTTTAAAGTTTTACTTATTAGTTTGTATATAAAACTGGCACTTTACACACAAACACACATTGTACTGTCAAGGTGAAAGCCTGGTTTTGCCTAACTTTGTTAGTTTCTGCACCAAATACATACAAAGTATTCTAGCTACTGTTCATGGGAGCCAATTCAAAATCACTAGGTGACTAAAAGAAGTTAAACCTGTGTGAACTAGGTGTGTTATTTCTAAACTTTGTTTTCCTTAAAGGATTAGAGTACTTTAAGATCAATTTCATAGTCAACTCTGTGCATGCCTCGGCTTTAGCCAGTTGATGCCACATAGAAGCTGAGTAGTGCTTTTTATCCCGTACCCCAACTAGACATGCTGAGGTAGAGCGTCCTGAAATAAGAGATCAAGGAAAACTAGTTTGTTAAAGGCTAATCTCAGAGAAAGAAGCTCCTAACTTAAATCATTAGGAACTGAGGTATAATCCAGGCTGGCTAGTGAGCCGAGTCTGACACATGTGAGCGGCAATACTGTTTTATTTCTCAAATTGTATTTCCCCCAACTTCTAATTGATATGACATGGTCCTCAAAGAGTCTTCTGGGTGGGATCTAAGATAGTATTATTGTAAATTGATTTTCCAATCAGCCTTGAACAAAATGACCCAGCCAAGATCTTGTCCCTGTTAAGTAGTAAGGCCAGGACTAAAATGGACTCTCTTAAAAGTTGAGTGTTTCTTCCTGATTTTGTTTGTGTGTAAGTAGGTGCTGTTAATTTAGTCCATTTATATTTACCACGTCTTTGAAATTAGAAAATGTTTTTTCTATGAGTCCTTTTAGATGATACCTGTAGCTCCTACTTTGAAATATATACCCAGCACTATCTCAAACTTTGTAATTGATTAGACATTGCTCAGTGCAATCACTTCTAACGTTTATCTAAATCTGAGCACCACCCTGGTGGTTTCCTAAACTTCTAAGGGGAAACTAGTGTTGCATGCAAATATTTTTTTTATTTCAGGAGGAAGTATAGACTAACATATACTTAATAGGGCTTATATTAAATCATCTGCCTTTGTGTTCCCCCAAAATAAAAAAAGTCAAGAAAATAATTCATGACATACATTGATCAGCACGTTTGTTAGCCAGTTGTATTGATTTTTGGCTGTTTGACCACTGCCCGGTTGTCTTATTAATTTTCTTTAACATTTATTGTGTAAATAGTCAGTTTTTTTTATTCCTGTAATATGGGATCCTTTTAAATTATTGTTACCTAAAGTTAATAAGTCCTCACACTTGTGCATCCCTAAGATGTAAAAACACTCACCCTTCCGTTGTGGGTACAGGGCAAGTTTAAAATCAGACTTGAGGATTTCACCTAAAGTGTAATCCGAGAGTGAACATCTGCCAACTCAGATTCCAATTCCCAATCTATTTAAAGGGAAACAGGTTTTAGTGTAAAACATTTCAAAGTCTTAAAACTGAATATTGTACAAGTGTTATATGATTAAAATAAAACTTTTGATATCAGTTCCTTGAGTGCGATAAAATTTGTGTTTACGATTCAGGAAGAGAAAATGGGAAGTCTTTTTTGTAAAGGCTTACTAGTTCGCTATTCTTCAGTTCTGGGGAAGGGCTTTTCTAATGCCTATTCTGGCACAAGGTATGAGTCCCAAGTGTACCTGAAAGCTGATGCCCAAAGCTATACCACACGTGGAATTGTGAAGCCCAGGATTCAGTAGAGTTTTAATTTTCTAAAAATCTTGGGTGAGTCACTTCTCTGGGTCTCTGTTTTCCCATTTGTAAAATAACGGGGTAGGGACAGATGATGGCCAAAAGTCTTCCCAGCTACTGTTTTGCTTTCATCCTCATCAAATTGACCTATCTGGACTTTTGCAGGGGATTAGATTGGTTCCTTTGTGTATAAATGCCCTTCCCTGACTCAAAATCCCACCCACTTTCATAAAACCTTGTAAAATTTACAATACCCTATCCATTCCCAAATTATTCCTTATATGTCGTGCCACCCTGATATTCAGTTATTCATTTAATAAATAGTAACTACTTCGTTAGGAGCCCTGGTGGCTCTGGCTAAAGTGCTTGGCTGCTAACTGAAAGGTCGGTGGTTTGAACTCACCAGCAGCTCCTCTGGAGAAAGATGTGGCAGTCTGCTTCTGTGAAGATGATAGCCTTGGAAACCCTATGAGGCAGTTCTATTCTGTCCTGTAGGATTGCTGTGAGTTGGAATCAACTTGAGGCAATTGGTTTGGTTTTTTGATTAACTGTTTTGCCATGGGAGCAATGGTGGTTCAGTGGTAGACTTCTCTACTTCCATGAGGGAAACCTGGGTTCAATGCACCTCATGTGCAGCAACCACCCACCCCACTGTCAGTGGAGGCTTGCGTGTTACTATGCTGCTGTGGAGCTTCCAGAATAAGGCAGACTAGGAAGAAAGGCCTGGTGGTCTACTTCTAAAAATCAGGCAATGAAAACCCTCTGGATCACAATGGTTCCATCTGCAACCAATCATGGCACTAGTGCAGGACTGGGCGTTGTTTTGTTCCATTGTGCACAGGGTTACCATGAGTTGGGAGCGGGCTTGATGGCAGCTAACCACATCACCTGCTTTATCAGGCACTGTTATGGTCACAGGAGCCCTGGTGGTGCAGTGGTTAAGCACTCGGCTGCTAACCGAAAGTTTGGCAGTTCGAATCCACCAGCTGCTCCACAGGTGAAAGATGTGGCCGTCTGCTTCTGTAAAGATTACAGCCTTGGAAACCCTATGGGGCAGTTCTACTCTGTTATAGGGTCGCTATGAGTTGGAATCTACTCCGCGGCAATGGGTTTGGTTTTGGTTGGTTATGGCCACTGGAGATACAGCAGTGAACAAGACAATTCCTCTCTGGAGCCGACATAAGTAAGCCTGAGGTGGTGATGCAATTATGGAGACAGGGAGCAGGAGAGAATTCTAAGGTGGGGACGGGAATACAATACGAAAGTGACTGGTGAGGGCAGACTTCATGGAGATGACATTTTCCTGCTGGGGGAACGGGGAGATTGGGACTAGGATTAACGGCTGTACTGTTCCTGCTGTGATCATGATTAAGATTTCTTCCATGTTTTTCCTATGTAAGAAAATGCTCTCTTTAACGGCACAAGTTTTTTTATCCATTTATATCTCTTAGCACAAGACCCTCAAAGGATCAGGTACTCCATGAATGGCTGATGAATGAGGAAATCAATTAGGGCAGAAGTATTGGTGGTGCAATGTTTCAAGTGCTCGGCTGCTAACCAAAAGGTTGACGATTAGAACCTACCCAACAGTGTTTTGTGGGAGAAAGACCTGGCAATCTGCTCCCATAAAGATTAAAAAAAACAACCCGTTGCCATTGAGTCGAGTTCAACTCACAGCAACCCTAAAATTAAACTGTAAAACTAACCACTGGAAGAGAACCAAAATATATCACTTCCAAAGCAGTAGAGGGGCGTGGGGGAATGAAGCTGGATCACTTTAATAGGAGGCAGAAAATATGTATGCTAAATGGTGCAGAATAAAAGGTAGACAGGAAAATAGGCACGATAAATATAAATAATCAGTTAAAGGACAAACTTTGCAGGTTCGATTAAGAAAATTCTGGCTATATTTCCAAAAGTCACACACATAAAGACATAAAGTAAAGGGGTGGAAAAAGATGTACCATGGTAAACAGTGGTCATTTAAAAAAAAAAAAAAAAGACTTTAAGGCAAAAGGGCTTATCAGAGATAAACGCTGTGGCCTAGAACAAGCCTCTGGAGAAATAACTTTGTACCTGACAACGTGGATTCTCTGTGCTGCATGCTTAGGTATTTAATCATGCCTCCCCCAGTAAATGATGAAGTCCTGGGCACAGTGTGACTGAGGGGAACATCTTGGTTCTGACATCCTCTTTATTCAATGTCTTCTGTGTCCTCTGGTCCTCTACATAGTTCCTGAGTTAGCTTTTATGCCAAATGTGGAAAAACCCTCTCTCTGTAAGCACTTGCTTGAAAGCTCAAACCTTGAGTATTTCTCAGCTGTCTCTGGTAGGTGCAGTTCATCTTCCTACCAGACGTACTGTCTCCTGCGTCGTGGGTATTGGGGCAAACCTGGCCCCAGGACCACCAGGATGGGGTTCTGGGGTCCAGCCTGGGCTGGGCAAGGTGCTGACTTGGAACAAACAGAAGAGGGTGTCAGCCAATGGCGGAGTGTGAGTTGAGGGCAAGGAGGAGCTAAACGGAACAGCACCCCTAGGGCTGTGAAGGGAGACCCCTGCCCCACATTTTAGGGGCATCACCCAAACATTGTGTTACACACTGTGTAACCCGGAGACAAACAGGGGGCCAAGAGTTGAGATCTGGAGGTGAAAAGTGAGATGAGATCTTGACACACTGAGGGGAAGACTTCAGGCCCCTTGTGGTTGGGGCTGCCTGAGCCTTGCTGGCTGTAGGTGGACTGGAGAGTTTAAACGACTGGCACTTGGAAGTGCTCGCTGAGGCTGCCTGTGACCGAGAAAGGCTTTGCTCACTTTGCACTCCTCCCAATTATAAGGAATGCTAGTGTTTTCCTGGCTTTGGCATTATAGAATCTGCCTTCGGGGGTAAAGGCTTTCTCCCTGAGGTCACTGACTGACCCCTGTTG